ACCTGTAATCCCAGCTACTCAGGAGGCTGAGGCAGGAGAATCACTTGAACCTGGGAGGCGGAGGTTGCAGTGAGCCAAGATTATGCCATTATACCCCAGCCTGGGCAACAGAGTGAGATTGTCTCAGGAAAAAAAAAAAAAAAGTTAATACATGTAAGTTTTTAGGAATGTTTCAAAATTTGTGACTATTTCTATGAAATGAAATGAAAATTCCAGGACATTTCAAGTTTTCTTATGCTATAATTAGTAATAATAAGGCCGGGAGCAGTGGCTCATGCCTGTAATCCCAGCACTTTGGGAGGCCAAGCAGGCGGATCACGAGGTCAGGAGTTAGAGAGCAGCCTGGCCAACATGGTGAAATTCTATCTCTACTAAAAATACAAAAATTAGCTGGGCATGGTGGTGTGCGCCTGTAATCCCAGCTACTCGGGAGGCAGGAGAATCACTTGAACTCAGGAGGCGGAGGTTGCAGTGAGCCGAGATCCCACCACCATTGCACTCCAGCCTGGGCAACAGAGTGAGACTCCGTCTCAAAAAACAAAAAATAGTAATACTCTGAATCGATGGCATCCATTAACCAGTTTGGCTTTGCTGACAGTGTGGTACATTATGATTTACATTAACTCCATCAGTGTCAGTATTTTATGTAAATTAACCACAAATTTAAATCTTTTGCTTCACTCTCTCATTACTTGGATTATCAAATAATTCAAGAACTTATTCATTGCAGTGATTCAAAATTTATACTTATAATGAATTACTGCTTTTGGTATGACCTAGAAACTTTTTTTTTGTTACAATACTTCTGAGTGGCAGAATAATATGTATTGAATTCATCACTCATTTTTATGGCTGTTTCATATTCTCAGGTCCTAGCAATAATAATAGTGAACCTCTAGGAATATATGCTGAATTGAATTCAATCTAAGCAATTATGATTAAATACTTGTAAAAGTTAACTATAGTAAACCTCAGAGAAGATAGCCTCTTGCTTTTATGGGTTTTTTTGGTAGAGATAGGGTTTTGCTCTGTTGCCCAGGATGAAGTGGAATGGTGTGATCATGGCTCACTGTTGCAACCTTGAGGCTGAGGCAGGAGAATGGTGTGAACCCAGAAGGCGGAGCTTGCAGTGAGCCGAGATCGCGCCTCTGTACTCCAGCCTGGGAGACAGAGCAAGACTCTGTCTCAAAAAAAATAAATAAATAAACAGTTTCACAAAACACACAACCAAGAAAACAAATGAAGCAACAAAAGCAGAGAGTTATTGAAAATGAAAGTACACTTCACCAGGTGGGAGAGGCCCCAGTAGCCACTCAAGGGCCCTGGATACAGAATTTTCTCCAGTCCAAATACCCCCTAGAAGTTTCCCGTTGGCCACTGGGTATTCACCCCTGTAAATGAAATGAAACAGTGGCCTGTAATGAGTCTGATTGGTTGCGGAAAGCCAAGGCGGGCGGATGACAGGGTCAAGAGATGGTGACCATCCTGGCCAACATGGTGAAACCTCATCTCTACTAAAAATACAAAAATTAGCTGGGTGTGGTGGGTGCTAATGCTAATGCATTATAATTAGTGTATGATGAGAAGTGAGGAAGACCAGAGATCACTCTCATCACCATCTTGGTTTCAGTGGGTTTTCCTGGCTTCTTTACCACAACCTGTTTTATTAGCAAGGTCTTTGTGACCTGTGTCTTATGCTGTCCTCCTATCTCATCCTGTGACTAAGAATGCCTTAACCTTCTGGGAATGCAGCCCAGTAAGTGTGGGGGGATCACCTGAAGTCAAGGTGGAGGTTGCAGCAACCCGAGATGGTGCCACTGCACTCCAGCCTGGGCAACTGAGAGAGACTCTGTCTCAAAAAAAAAAAAAAAAAGGCAACTAATTAGAGGTACTTAGAATTTCCCATCTGCCACAGAAAAGGTAGGGGTTTGCAAAGGGGTAGCCTCTGATCCTTTTGTTACTTAGGCTTGGAAAGTTAGGATTTCCCTTTCGATTTAGTTCTAGGAAGTCAGCCTGAAACAGCCTTAGGTTCCCTGCCTCCAGACTCTGTTCTCCTGCCTAAAACATATCCATGCACTAGAAGGGTGGTGCACCTGCAGAGGACAAGGAAGCTCCACAGCCCCTCCAAACCTTGTCCCATGCATCTCTTCCGTTTGGCTGTGCCTGAGTTGTATTCTTTTTTTTTTTTTTTTTGAGATGGAGTCTTGCTCTGTTGCCAGGCTGGAGTGCAGTGGCGTGATTTCAGCTCACTGCAACCTCCACCTCTTGGGTTCCAGCAATTCTCCTGCCTCAGCCTCCTGAGTAGCTGGGACTACAGGTGCGCACCATCATGCCCAGCTAATTTTTGTATTTTTAGTAGAGACGGGGTTTCACCATGTTGGCCAGGATGGTCTGGATCTCTTGACCTCGTGATCTACCCGCCTCAGCCTCCCAAAGGGCTAAGATTATAGGTGTGAGCCACCATGCCCAGCCAGACTAAGAAATTCTTACCAGCCAAGTTTCTGGTCTCTCTCTGTCTCTCTGTATGTGTGTGTAAACGGTAAATGCCACTATTTGTTTTCTCTGCAAGGGTTTGATTAGTAGAAAAAAAGGATTTGTCAGACAAGTCTTAGGCTGTAGCAAATCTGATGTACTTTGTGCTAAGAATTTGTCTTTCTGTGTTGTTCTGTAATGAAGAGGGGAGTATCACAGGATAGAACGTGGGTTTAGGATGCCTATAAGCCAAGTTTTCAAGCCAGCCCATCAGGTTGGTCAGTTACAAATGTTGCTATGGGTCTCTGAAACCAATGCCAAATGAAATTTCTCTGCCTTGTTTTGTGTCCTTAAGAGCTTAACCTTATGGCCATGTGGGGATACTTTCTCTTGGTTTCTGCCATACAGAGGACAGGAATTTGGGGGTCCATGTCATAGCCCTAAAAATTATCTCGAGCAGGCTGGGCATGGTGGCTCACGCCTGTAATCCTAGCACTTCAGGAGGCTGAGGCGGGCGGATCACGAGGTCAGGAGATTGAGACCATCCTGGCTAACATGGTGAAACCCCATCTCTACTAAAAATACAAAAAAATTAGCTGGGCATGGTGGCGGGCACCTGTAGTCCCAGCTACTCAGGAGGCCGAGGCAGGAGTATGGCGTGAACCCAGGAGGTGGAGCTTGCAGTGAGCTGAGATGGTGCCACTGCACTAGACTCCGTCTCAAAAAAAAAAAAAAAAATTATCTTGAGCAGTTGAGAGCCTTTGAAAGCTTGAATTTGGCTACTCTAGACTTCTGGGAATAGCAATAGAAACTGCCCAGGGCCGGGTGCAGTGGCTCACGCCTGTAATCCCAGCACTTTGGGAGGCCGAGGCGGATCACAAGGTCAAGAGATCGAGACCATCCTGGCCAACCTGGTGAAACTCACCTCTACTAAAAATACAAAAATTAGCCGGGCATGGTGTCACGCACCTGTAGTCCCAGCTACTCGGGAGGCTGAGGCAGGAGAATCGCTTGAACCCAGGAGGCAGAGGTTGCAGTGATTCGAGTTTGTGCCACTGCATTCAAGCCTGGCGACAAAGTGAGACTCCGTCAAAAAAAAAAAAGAAAGAAAGAAAGAAAGAGGCCGGGCGCGGTGGTGGCTCAAGCCTGTAATCCCAGCACTTTGGGAGGCCGAGACGGGGGGATCATGAGGTCAGGAGATCGAGACCATCCTGGCTAACATGGTGAAACCCCGTCTCTACTACTAAAAAATATAAAAAACTAGCCGGGCAAGGTGGCGGGCACCTGTAGTCCCAGCTGCTCGGGAGGCTGAGGCAGGAGAATGGCGTAAACCCGGGAGGCAGAGCTTGCAGTGAGCTGAGATCCGGCCACTGCACTCCGGCCTGGGTGACAGAGCGAGACTCCGTCTCAAAAAAAAAGAAAGAAAGAAAGAAAGAAAGAAACTGCCCAATGCTGT